TGTCGCGTGATGCACACTGAACTAAAGCCCTACACAATATCTACATGTCGTGATGCATGCTGAACTGAAGCCCTACACAATATCCTACATGCGTGATGCACACTGAACTGAAGCCCTACACAATATCTGCATGTCGGTGATGCACACTGAACTAAAGCCCTACACAATACCTGCGCATGTCGTGATGCACACTTAACTGAAATCCTACACAATATCTACATGTCGTGATGCACACTGAACTGAAGCCCTACACAATATCTACACATCGTGATGCACACTGAACTGAAGCCCTACACAATATCTACATGTCGCGTGATGCACACTGAACTAAAGCCCTACACAATATCTACATGTAAGTGATGCATACTGAACTGAAGCCCTACACAATATCTGCATGTGCGTGATGCACACTGAACTGAAGCCCTACACAATATCTACATAATGCGTGATGCACACTGAACTGAAGCCCTACACAATACCTGCATGTCGTGATGCACACTTAACTGAAATCCTACACAATATCTACATGTCGTGATGCACACTGAACTGAAACCCTACACAATATCTACATGTCGTGATGCACACTGAACTGAAAGCCCTACACAATATCTACATGTCGTGATGCACACTGAACTGAAACCCTACACAATATCTACACATCGTGATGCACACTGAACTGAAGCCCTACACAATATCTACATGTAAGTGATGCACACTGAACTGAAGCCCTACACAATATCTACACATGCGTGATGCATGCTGAACTGAAGCCCTACACAATATCTACATGTCTTGATGCACACTGAACTGAAGCCCTACACAATACCTGCATGTCGTGATGCACACTGAACTGAAGCCCTACACAATATCTACATGTCGTGATGCATGCTGAACTGAAACCCTACACAATATCTACATGTCGTGATGCACACTGAACTGAAACCCTACACAATATCTGCATGTCGTGATGCACACTGAACTGAAGCCCTACACAATATCTACATGTCGTGATGCATGCTGAACTGAAGCCCTACACAATATCTGCATGTCGTGATGCACACTGAACTAAAGCCCTACACAATATCTGCATGTCGTGATGCACACTGAACTGAAGCCCTACACAATATCTACATGTAAGTGATGCATGCTGAACTGAAACCCTACACAATATCTACATGTCGTGATGCACACTGAACTGAAACCCTACACAATATCTGCATGTCGTGATGCACACTGAACTAAAGCCCTACACAATATCTACATGTCGGTGATGCATGCTGAACTGAAGCCCTACACAATATCTACATGTCGGTGATGCACACTGAACTGAAGCCCTACACAATACCTGCATGTCGTGATGCACACTGAACTAAAGCCCTACACAATACCTACATGTGCGTGATGCACACTGAACTGAAGCCCTACACAATATCTGCATGTCGTGATGCATGCTGAACTGAAACCCTACACAATATCTACATGTCGTGATGCACACTGAACTGAAACCCTACACAATATCTGCATGTCGTGATGCACACTGAACTGGAAGCCCTACACAATATCTACATGTAAGTGATGCATGCTGAACTGAAGCCCTACACAATACCTGCGTATGGTGATGCGCACTGAACTGGAACCCTACACATTCCTGCATATCGTGATGCACACTGACCTGAAACCCTACACAATATCTGCATATCGTGATGCATGCTGAACTGAAGCCCTACACAATATCTGCATATCATGATGCATGCTGAACTAAACCCCTACACAATACCTGCATATAGTGATGCATGCTGAACTAAACCCCAACACAATACCTGCATATCATGATGCATGCTGAACTAAACCCCTACACAATACCTGCATATCGTGATGCATGCTGAACTACACCCTACACAATATCTGCATCTCGATGCATGCTGAACTGAAGCCCTACACAATACCTGCATGTATGTGATGCATGCTGAACTGAAACCCTACACAATATCTACACATCGTGATGCACACTGAACTGAAACCCTACACAATATCTACACGTATGTGATGCACACTGAACTAAAGCCCTACACAATATCTACATGTCGTGATGCATGCTGAACTGAAGCCCTACACAATACCTACATGTCGTGATGCACACTGACCTGAAACCCTACACAATACCTGCATATCGTGATGCACACTGACCTGAAACCCTACACAATATCTGCATATCGTGATGCATGCTGAACTGAAGCCCTACACAATACCTGCATATCATGATGCATGCTGAACTAAACCCTACACAATACCTGGATATAGTGATGCATGCTGAACTAAACCCCAACACAATACCTGCATATCATGATGCATGCTGAACTAAACCCTACACAATACCTGCATATCGTGATGCATGCTGAACTACACCCTACACAATACCTGCATGTCGTGATGCACACTGAACTAAAAGCCCTACACAATACCTGCATAATCGTGATGCACTGAACTGAAGCCCTACACAATATCTGCATGTCGTGATGCATGCTGAACTGAAACCCTACACAATATCTACATGTAGGTGATGCACACTGAACTGAAACCCTACACAATATCTGCATGTCGTGATGCACACTGAACTGAAGCCCTACACAATATCTACATGTCGTGATGCATGCTGAACTGAAGCCCTACACAATACCTGCATGTCATGATGCACACTGAACTGAAGCCCTACACAATATCTGCGTAATCGTGATGCACACTGAACTAAAGCCCTACACAATACCTGCGTAATAAGTGATGCACACTGAACTGAAATCCTACACAATATCTACGTGTGTCGTGATGCACACTGAACTGAAACCCTACACAATATCTACATGGTGATGCACACTGAACTGAAATCCTACACAATATCTACGTAATCGTGATGCACACTGAACTAAAGCCCTACACAATATACTACATGTCGTGATGCATGCTGAACTGAAGCCCTACACAATACCTGCATGTCGTGATGCACACTGAACTGAAGCCCTACACAATATCTGCATGTCGTGATGCACACTGAACTAAAGCCCTACACAATATCTGCATGTCGTGATGCACTTAACTGAATCCTACACAATATCTACATGTCGTGATGCACACTGAACTGGAAACCCAACACAATATCTACATCGTGATGCACTGAACTGAAATCCTACACAATATCTACATGTCGTGATGCACACTGAACTGAAAACCCTACACAATATCTACACATCGATGCACACTGAACTGAAGCCCTACAATATCTACGTAATCGCGGATGCACACTGAACTGAAGCCCTACACAATATCTACGCGATGCATGCTGAACTGAAGCCCTACACAATATCTGCATGTCGTGATGCACACTGAACTGAAGCTCTACACAATACCTGCATGTCGTGATGCACACTGAACTGAAGCCCTACACAATATCTACATCGTGATGCATACTGAACTGAAGCCCTACACAATATCTACATCGGTGATGCACACTGAACTGAAACCCTACACAATATCTGCATGTCGTGATGCACACTGAACTGAAGCCCTACACAATATCTACATGTCGTGATGCATGCTGAACTGAAGCCCTACACAATATCTGCATGTCGTGGATGCACTGAACTAAAGCCCTACACAATATCTGCATGTCGTGGATGCACACTGAACTGAAGCCCTACACAATATCTACATGTCGTGATGCATGCTGAACTGGAACCCTACACAATATCTACATGTCGTGGATGCACACTGAACTGAAGCCCTACACAATATCTACATGTCGATGCACACTGAACTAAAGCCCTACACAATATCTACGTGTCGTGATGCATGCTGAACTGAAGCCCTACACAATACCTGCATAATCGTGATGCACACTGAACTGAAGCCCTACACAATACCTGCACATCGTGATGCACACTGAACTGAAGCCCTACACAATACCTGCATGTCGTGTGATGCACACTGAACTGAAGCCCTACACAATATCTACGTATGGTGATGCATGCTGAACTGAAACCCTACACAATATCTACGTGTCGTGATGCACACTGAACTGAAACCCTACACAATATCTGCATGTCGTGATGCACACTGAACTAAAGCCCTACACAATATCTACATGTCGCGGATGCATGCTGAACTGAAGCCCTACACAATACCTGCATGTAAGTGATGCACACTGACCTGAAACCCTACACAATACCTGCATATCGTGATGCACACTGACCTGAAACCCTACACAATATCTGCATATCGTGATGCACATGCTGAACTGAAGCCCTACACAATACCTGCATATCATGATGCATGCTGAACTAAACCCTACACAATACCTGCATATAGTGATGCATGCTGAACTAAACCCCAACACAATACCTGCATATCATGATGCATGCTGAACTAAACCCTACACAATACCTGCATATCGTGATGCATGCTGAACTACAACCCTACACAATACCTGCATCTCATGATGCATGCTGAACTGAAGCCCTACACAATACCTGCATATCATGATGCATGCTGAACTAAAACCCTACACAATACCTGCATATAGTGATGCATGCTGAACTAAACCCCTACACAATACCTGCATATCGTGATGCATGCTGAACTACAACCCTACACAATACCTGCATCTCATGATGCATGCTGAACTGAAGCCCTACACAATACCTGCATATCATGATGCATGCTGAACTGAAACCCTACACAATACCTGCATATAGTGATGCATGCTGAACTGAAACCCTACACAATACCTGCATATCGTGATGCATGCTGAACTAAACCCTACACAATACCTGCATATCGTGATGCATGCTGAACTACAACCCTACACAATACCTGCATCTCATGATGCATGCTGAACTGAAGCCCTACACAATACCTGCATATGCGTGATGCATGTTCCAGTAGTTGATGACATGGATCCTCAGTATCAAGATACTGCACAGCAGTCTTCCCTTGACCATCCACGGACACTGACACAGCATCCCAGCCCCAGCAGCAGCTCGAGGCAGATCCGTCTGTGGGTGACACTCTTGGCAGGACTCTTCACACACAGGTGGAGGGGAGTCCCCGACTGTCAGGCTGGTCAATCTGCAGGCTGAGGTCCGGCTGCCTCTCCAGGACATACTTCATCAGGTCCAGATTACCTGCAACATGCTTGAAGCATGAGAAACAATGGAGACTGTTAACTCAAACCTCCCTATTTCCTATATATCTCCCCTGGTGTTTTGAGTATCTAAACACCTAAACAATTAATTTGACATTGATGAGAGAGCCACTGGTTTGATAACTCAGATGGAATGTATGTGAGAATAATATAAAAAGAATAAACATCATGGCACTATGTAGCTTCCCTGGATATGTGCGTGCATGCGTCGTCGCGGCGAATGGTTAAAGCATTCAATCGTCACACCAAAGGCCGGGTTCAATTCCCCACAGGGGAACAATGTGTGAAACCCATTTCTGGTGTCCCCAGCCATGATATTGCTGGAATATTGCTAAAGGTGGCATAAATCTAAACTTACTCACTCCAAAGTTTCAACAACCACAAATATTTATATTATAGCTTACATTATATTTCTTGTATAGATACTGTGGCCAAATAGTATCAGTGAATAGAGGGAACATCTCATATATTTATATTATAGCTTACATTATATTTCTTAAAGGTCACATGCAACCAAAAAATCAAACATAATTAAAACACAATTATCACTTATTCATGACATATAATATACATTGCTGGTTATGAAAAACATAAAAACAAAATTATAAGCGTACAATCGCAAATCAAAAGTGCAATATTTTGTACTTGGGTTTACTTCCCAAGAAACGAAGCAGCCGGGATACCGAACCCAGTCAGAGCGGGTGGGTGTGCACTCAAGTGTAACGGCTGGTTCATTTGCAGATGCCCTCACGGCTCATTGTGTGTGTATATATAGAGATGTTGGGTTTTGTAAATACATGCTCATTTTTTGTGTATAACATTTTGCAATCAACAGACATCATAACATGTCATGTGTACAAGTATCACACCTGCCTGTCTGTGTAATTACATAATGTGACAGAGACCGAACTCGGGCCATAAATCAATGCGTTTTGTTTATGGTGTATAGCCTGATAGGTGTTAAGTTCAAATTGCATGTGGTCAGTGATTGAAACTGTGTATTGAATATTGTCATTAGCAGACGGGCAGGCAGACACATAGGTGCCAATAAAACAGACATTGAGTTTTGTCTGTGACAACGACATATCTATATCACAGTTAGAAATTCTGTCGACGCTAAATAATGACATTGCTTTTAAGTATCGAACTGAGAAAGTGACTCGGTAAGAAGAACGTGTGGTGAAATAGACAAATGAAATTATATAAACAGTTAAATCGGTAATCTACTGTCATAACATATAAAAAGCTCGCACCTGTGAAATATCAACAAAACAGTAGAAAAATAGCTCACACCAAAGCCTTCACCAAATATTCACCGGACAACCCGCTTCCAAGTTCATGAACCTATTTCACTCGCGCAAGTGCTATGGCGCAGCCAGCTGTTGAAACCACTTCAGTTCCCCAAACGCTGGGGAAAGTTAGTGAATCGTTTGAACTCACGATTCTCGCGCGGTTTTTTCATTGCGTTATTTTCAACTTTATAATTTGAATTTGCATTTTGATGATTTGTTTTGGTAAGTCCATACCGAAATGTATCAGAATCTGCAAAGTTGTGTTTTACGTTGCATGTGACCTTTAAATAGTCATAGGCCAAAGATGGCTTTGTCAAACAGAACACTTGTCTACATTTCTTTCATGAAATATTTTGTCATCTGAATGGTGTTGAACAGTCAATTATATTCAATATCCATCACAGGAGACTTTATGTCATTCAATACAGATCAAGCGTTGTTAAATGATAAACAAGATAACAGATCTTCACTAGTCCAAAATCCAAATTTTGTAAAACAATGGTAAGTCAGTTATGCTCAGCTGAAAACAGTCCATCTACTGAAATGCTGCAAAAGGCAATTTTACTAAAGGAAGAGGTCAGCGATTTTGGAAAGACCAATAAATAATTCAAAGAGATGACATTGTTTGGCAATTATGGTGGATTTTAATTCGATAGGTATACAAGTAAGCTGAAGTGAAAAATATCACATAGACCAAGACCGACCTAAAATACTATAAACACCACAGACACTATAATCATGGCATGTCTCAAAGTAATAACAGAGCTATGAGCCATAAGCAAAAGGAACAGATAAAATATGGAAGTTGATTCAGGCAGAACAATGTGTCAAGAGGCTGATCAAGAAAAACAATGAATAAAAAGAACAACGGTAGGGAGGGAGGGTAATAAAATATTTATAAAAAAAATGAGGGAAAAAGCCGCACATGCAGGGCCAGATGGGACGGAAAGGAGAGGAGCGCATGCGTGGTAGAGAACAAAACAGAAGTTCTGGTTGTTATGCAATTTGGACATCATGACATCATGACACATGATTCTGCAATGAGCCGACTGACCTGAGTGAGTGAGCTTAGTTTTACGCCGCACTCAGCAATATTCCAGCTATATGGCGGTGGTCTGTAAACAATTAAGTCTGGACCAGACAATCCAGTGATCAACAGGATGAGCATCAATCTGCGCAATGGGGAACCGATGACATGTGTCAACCAAGTCAGCGAGCCTGACCACCGATCCCGCTTTGTAGCCTCTTCACGGCGAAAGCATGGGTTACTGAAGATCAATATTCTAACCCGGATCTTCACGGGTCCACTGACCTGATCTGGTGGCTGATCTGACAGCCGCTATCATCAGTGGTTCCTCGTCTTCATCTACAATACTCTCAAGAGGTGTGCCCTTCTCCAGGAGGGTGATGGCGAGTCGGACACCAAAGCCATGCAAGTCCACATCACTCATGGACCCAAGCATACTGGATATACGTATATCTGCTGTTGGCAAGTTGGCCGCTCGGCCGTCAAGTGGCGACCAGGGTCCATTCCTTGGCTGGATAAGGAGATCCACACCCAGCCATCCATTCTGTTTGACAAGGAGGTCCAGCACTTGGGTCCAGAACTGCGGATTTTCTGGGATGTCGATGCCATCACAGTGTGTGCTGTCTGAAGAACCAACACACATGCTCTTTTTCTGTTTGGTGTCCCACTATATAAATCTACCCAGTCTAAGTAAACTTCGTTACACTGCTATACTAGTCTAACAAAACCTTGTAGAGCCTTGACTGTAAATCTACCAAATCTTGGGCATTGCAACAAATCAACCAAAGAAAAGATATTACAAATTATTTGCCATTAATGAATCAATTTTGAGTCAATACTTTCAAGAAAAGAATTACTGAATAAAGATGATTGGATCTTTTGCATGTTGCCCTCGGTTACTCAGTTATGTAACCATGTTGGATAGCCAATATTCAAAATCAAATTTAACAAGTTTGATGTTAACATTATCAATGTAGGTAGTTGGAACAAATTAGCTTAGTGAATTAAGTTTTACACCACATGGACTGATACTTCTGGTGGCATGAAAAATAATCTCATCAGGGCTAGGCTGCAAGTGGTCAAAATTAGGGTTCAGGGGTCTTGAAGTGAAATTCAAAAAAACAGACTTTTAGGTAGACTATTGCTTAGTTTCTGAATATATATATAATTTTGATAGTAACAAACAAGCCCATCTAAATTGAAAAGGAGCCTCAGGGAGACCAGAGATCCTGAACCTGAGGAAATCTAGACTTGCTTTATTTAGGGCTTTAGCACTGCAGAGAGGGCTTGGCAGTAGGGAAAATACTGTGGTTCAGGGATGGTGAGACAGACTCACTTTTGCGTAGCACCTCCAAAGCTGATGCTAATTATGTTTGGGGCAGATTGCAGGTATGTAAAGGTTTTCTCTGATAAAATACATTTTGCAATATGCTACAATACAAATATGTAGATAACATAATATAAATAAATATATTTCATCCTTGAAATGCATGCCATCACTTTGGTCATGGTCACAAGTACATAACATAAATAGACATGAAAACTGAAGAAACATTTTGCCAGCTAATGAACCTTCTTTAGCTATATGTTCTCTCATCATGTATTTTCCATTATACTGTGTTCATAAAATTGTGCTGTGACTGGACTTTTTCTTTTTTTAAATGTATCTCAAGATGTCAGTAAAAAGTAGTCATTTCATATTTCTACTGGGAACAGACTCATGGCTGACATTATATAAAACTGGTTGCTTTTCATTAAAACCTTATCAGGTAATTTAACACCTCAAATGTTTAGTTTGTATTCTTGGAATCAGCAGCTCAAATCTTGAAAACCTGGAATTAATACCTCAAACACTTACCTTGTAAACTTGGAATGATGGTTGCCAGTTTTGCAAAATAGTGCACCCTGTCATCATCTAAATTCTTGATGTCATCTATCAAAGTACGGAAGATAGATGTTGGATCTTGTTGGCCATTGGAACACATCTAGAGGAAGAAAATACATGCACCAACATTGTCAGAGGGGTCTGTAGCCTACACAGAACAACTCAACAATACAGAGGGGTCTGTAGCCTACACAGAACACATCAACAATAATAATAATAAATAATAATAATAATAATTGATTTATAGAGCTCCTATTTCCAAAAGATATTGCTCAATGGCGCTATGAAGAGAAAAGATTGTAGACAATGTCTATGGAAAAGAGAGTTTGAACAGATGAGTTTTGAGGGCAGTTTTGAAAGCATCAGCAGATTCTATTTCTTTTAGGGTGAGTGGTAGAATGTTCCAGAGATAGGGGGCTGCAGCAGAGAACGCTCTTGATCCCATGGTTGTTTTGATGTGAGGCTGTGTAAGCAGTAGGGAGTTTGACGAAATGGAACAATCGGCTTGGAACATGGAGATGAATGAGGCTTTTAAGATATTGAGAAAACATGTTTTCATAGATGCAGCTGTGTGTAAGAAGAAGAAGTTTGTATTGAATTCTGCTTGATACAGGAAGCCAGTGAAGAGTTTGGAGGATAGGTGTCACAGTTTGGTAGCGTGGTGCACGGGCAACAACACGGGCGGATGAATTCTGAATCCGTTGGAGTTGTGAAAGGAGCTGTTGAGGAATGTTGTAATAGAGGGAGTTGCAGTAATCAAGTTTAGAGAGAACAAGGCTGGTCATTAGAAGCTGGGCGGTGTTGAAGTCTAAGAGGGTTCGGATCTTGCTAATATTGAAGATATGGTAGAAGCATCCTTTGCTGAGTGATTTGCTTTGCTTTTCTAATGACATTGTTGATTGAAAGATGACACCAAGATTTTTTGCAGACTCGGACTGCGTGATAACATCTTGTCCAATTTCAAGAGATAGACTGTCAGGCACTTTGGAAAGTTGATGCCTGGATCCGATGGTTAAGAACTCAGTCTTTGTGTCATTCAATTTCAGAAAATTCAAGGTCATCCAGTCTCTTATTTCAGCAATACATTTCAGCTTACAGTCAGAGGAGTCTGTAGCCTACACAGAACACACCTACAGGACAGGATACATGCCACAATACAGTGAGAGGGGTCTGTAGCCAACACAGAACACATCTACAGGACAGGATACATGCCACAAGACAGGAGGGTCTGTAGCCAACACAGAACACATCTACAGGACAGGATACATGCCACAAGACAGTGAGAGGGGTCTGTTGCCAACACAGAACACATCTACAGGACAGGATACATGCCACAAGACAGTGGAAAGGGTCTGTAGCCAACACAGAACACATCAACTACAGGACAGGATACATGCCACAAGACAGTTAGAAGGGTCTGTAGCCAACACAGAACACACAACAATACAGGACAGGATACATGCCACAAGACAGTCAGAGGGGTCTGTAGCCAACACAGAACACATCAACAGGACAGGATACATGTCACAAGACAGTGACAGGGGTCACATTGCCAACAGTGAACACATCTACAGGACAGGACACATGCCACAAGACAGTGAGAGGGGTCTGTAGCCAACACAGAACACACCTAGAGGACAGGATATATGCACAAGACAGTCAGAGGGGTCTGTAGCCTACACAGAACACATCTACAAGACAGGAGGGGTCTGTATACAGAACACATCAACAGTCAGAGGGGTCTGTAGCCTACACAGAACACATCAACATACTAGGGGTCTGTAGCCTACATGCCACATCAACAGTACAGTCAGGGGTCTGTAGCCTACACAGAACACATCAACTACAGTCAGAGGGACAGGATACAGAACACATCAACAATACAGTCAGAGGGTCTGTAGCCAACACAGAACACATCTACAGGACAGGGTACATGCCACACAGACACATCAACAATACAGTCAGAGGGGTCTGTAGCCAACACAGAACACACCTACAGGGACAGGATACATGCCAACAAGACAGTCAGAGGGGTCTGTAGCCTACACAGAACACATCTACAGGACAGGATACATGCCACAATACAGTTAGAAGGGTCTGTAGCCAACACAGAACACACAACAATACAGGACAGGATACATGCCACAAGACAGTGAGAGGGGTCTGTAGCCAGCCAACAGTGAACACATCTACAGGACAGGATACATGCCACAAGACAGTACAGTCAGAGGGGTCTGTAGCCAACACAGAACACATCAACAATACAGTCAGACAGGATACACAGAACACATCAACAGTACAGAGAGGGTCTGTAGCCAACAGTGAACACATCTACAGGACAGGATACATGCAACAAGACAGTGAGAGGGGTCTGTAGCCAACACAGAACACATCTAGAGGACAGGATACATGCCTCAAGACAGTCAGAGGGGTCTGTAGCCTACACAGAACACACATCAACAATACAGACAGGGTCTGTAGCCACACAGAACACATCAACAATACAGTCAGAGGGTCTGTAGCCAACACAGAACACATCCTACAGTCAGAGGGACAGAACACATCAACAATACAGTCAGAGGGGTCTGTAGCCAACACAGAACACATCAACAATACAGTCAGAGGGGTCTGTAGCCTACACAGAACACATCAACAATACAGTCAGAGGGGTCTGTAGCCAACACACAGAACACATCAACAATACAGTCAGGATACAATACACAGAACAGTTAGAGGGGTCTGTAGCCTACACAGAACACATCAACAATACAGTCAGGGGTCTGTAGCCTACACAGAACACATCAACAATACAGTCAGAGGGGTCTGTAGCCAACACAGAACACATCAACAATACAGAGGGGTCTGTAGCCTACACACACACATCAACAATACAGTCAGAGGGGTCTGTAGCCTACACAGAACACATCAACAATACAGAGGGGTCTGTAGCCTACACAGAACACATCAACAATACAGTCAGAGGGGTCTGTAGCCTACACAGAACACATCAACAATACAGAGGGGTCTGTAGCCTACACAGAACACATCAACAATACAGTCAGAGGGGCCAACACAGAACACATCTACACACAGAATACATGCCAACAATACAGTCAGAGGGGTCTGTAGCCTACACAGAACACATCAACAATACAGGAGGGTCTGGATACAGAACACATCAACAATACAGTGAGAGGGGGTAGCTGTAGCCACACACAGAACACATCTACAGGACAGGATACATGCCAATACAGTCAGAGGGGTCTGTAGTACACAGAACACATCAACAATACAGTCAGAGGGGTCTGTAGAACACACAGAACACATCAACAATACAGTCAGAGGGGTCTGTAGCCTACACAGAACACATCAACAATACAGTCAGAGGGTCTGTAGCCACACAAGACACATCAACAATACAGTCAGAGGGTCTGTAGCCAACACAGAACACACATCAATACAGTCAGACAGGACAGGATACATGCCTACACAGAAATCAACAGTACAGAGGGGTCTGTAGCCTACACAGAACACATCAACAATACAGACAGGATCTGTAGCCACACAGAACACATCAACAATACAGTCAGAGAGGGTCTGTAGCCAACACAGAATCACAATACAGTCAGAGGGTCTGTAGCCTACACAGACATGCAACACAAGAGGGGTCAGTGACACACTGTCAACAATACAGTCAGAGGGTCTGTAGCCTACACAGAACACATCAACAATACAGTCAGAGGGTCTGTAGCCACACAGAACACATCAACAATGAGAGGGTCTGTAGCCTACACAGAACACATCAACAATACAGTCAGAGGGGTCTGTAGCCTACACAGAACACATCAACAATACAGTCAGAGGGGTCTGTAGCCTACACAGAACACATCAACAATACAGTCAGAGGGGTCTGTAGCCTACACAGAACACATCAACAATACAGAACACATCAACAATACAGAGGGGTCTGTAGCCTACACAGAACACATCAACAATACAGTCAGAGGGTCTGTAGCCAACACAGAACACATCAACAATACAGTCAGAGGGGTCTGTAGCCTACACAGAACACATCAACAATACAGTCAGAGGGGTCTGTAGCCTACACAGAACACATCAACAATACAGTCAGAGGGGTCTGTAGCCTACACAGAACACATCAACAATACAGTCAGAGGGGTCTGTAGCATCACACACAGAACACATCAACAATACAGTCAGAGGGGTCTGTAGCCTACACAGAACACATCAACAATACAGTCAGAGGGGTCTGTAGCCTACACAGAACACATCAACAATACAGAGGGGTCTGTAGCCAACACAGAACACATCAACAATACAGTCAGAGGGGTCTGTAGCCTACACAGAACACATCAACAATACAGTCAGAGAGGGGTCTGTAGCCTACACAGAACACATCAACAATACAGTCAGAGGGGTCTGTAGCCTACACAGAACACATCAACAATACAGTCAGAGGGGTCTGTAGCCTACACAGAACACATCAACAATACAGTCAGAGTCAGGGTCTGTAGCCACACACAGAACACATCAACAATACAGTCAGAGGGGTCTGTAGCCTACACAGAACACATCAACAATACAGTCAGAGGGGTCTGTAGCCTACACAGAACACATCAACAATACAGTCAGAGGGTCTGTAGCCTACACAGAACACATCAACAATACAGTCAGAGGGTCTGTAGCCTACACAGAACACATCAACAATACAGTCAGAGGGGTCTGTAGCCTACACAGAACACATCAACAATACAGAGGGGTCTGTAGCCTACACAGAACACATCAACAATACAGTCAGAGGGGTCTGTAGCCAACACAGAACACATCAACAATACAGTCAGAGGGGTCTGTAGCCTACACAGAACACATCAACAATACAGTCAGAGGGGTCTGTAGCCTACACAGAACATACATCTAGAGGGACAGGATACATGCACCAACTTTGTCAGAGGGGTCTGTAGCCTACACAGAACATATCTAGAGGACAGGATACATGACACAAGACAGTAAGTATTCTCCCTGAAAATCATCATGAGAATTTAGGAACAGGGCCAAGAGCAATTGTCAAACACAAACCACATTTTAAGATACTGCAAAAAAACAGAACATATGTTTTGAGAACCATTATTAAGTATACACATATTGCAAATTTCTTTAGAGTTTGAAATAAAGGTCTGAAAAAGGTCCATACAAATTTAACTTATTATGGTCTGTGCTTGCAGGTTGGCTGAAGCGCAAAGTTCAAACTTGGGTAAATATAATATTAACAAGTGTTTGCCACTGATATGGCAATGTCCCCTGCCGCTATGGAATGGAATATCTATATTTACTACTTTTTATTTTTTGGTCAAATACAAGATGCCTGAAATGACTGGAGTCTGCATAATCTCCCAACGTTGGCTGTCGACATAACTGAAAACATTGGGTGCATTGTTTTATGAGATATTGCGTTTAAATAAGTTTGAAGATAAGGTCAAGGTCACCCAAATCAACTGTTGTCTGCGTAATCCCCCAATGTAGGCTGTCACCAAATTTGAAGACATTGGGTACAACAGTCCATGAGAAGGCGCATTAACAAAAATCGGGTAGTACGTATATGTCAAAATCTGTCAAATCTGTGAATGCAACTTCTTGAAATTGTCCCCAATCTTTGTTCAGCATGCAGACAGTAATATTTGAATTGAGGGTGTAGTGGTTAAAAGGAAAACCAATGCAACATTACAATGAAAACTGTAAATAATTAGCCATTTATGAAATACAAGTAATGAGAAACAAGAGTTTGGTTATGTGGCCAAGTGATCTACTAACGACACTAGATATTCCCCTTGAGTATTAATCTGTGATAACAAACAATAGCTGACATTTTGCCAGGTGACATGATGCCATATCTCCTTGCACTATCAACATGTATCTGGCCTACTAATACAGGTCTATTTTAAATGGTTACCACACCAGCGTCAGCACGATCACATACAGCTATCACAGTGTTTGTGTAATCAGGAATTTGTGTACTCACTATAACAGTTCAGATAAACTTTGATCAGTCAGTCTGACTGGAAACCAGGGATTGATCTGTGATTCAAAACAAGGGCCTGTTTGCAGGCAAATTGTGCTAATTTTTTTTGTAGTTTTGTTCAAATTGAAGATTTAATTGTTTTGTTGTTATTTGCCTAACTTACATAAAATATTTTAATACTGAATTCAAATGAGTAATAAAAAACTAAACATTAAATCCTTTCCTCCTCATTAGATAATATATGACATGTATTAATTCCATTTGGGGAATTTGTTGTTGTTGAATAATGTCTGAATTCTAGCTTCTGAGCAGGTAGTAAAACATCACAACTCATGGCTGCAGCATAATAAGTGGTAAAATAGCCTGTATGACTTTTTAAGGACATTTACACTCATTACAAATGTTTGACTGAGAGGACATAAGTGGGGATGCAGTCACTGCAGAATTTATATCTCACGGCTGCAACAAACCTACAAGATAATGAATTCCAATATATTCGGGCAAATTATGAAACACATAACAATAAATTTGTACATGTCTTTTCTGCATACTAAAGCTGTTGGTAACAGGATATTAAATAAACAAAACAGCAATATTGGCAGTAACACTTACAAAAATATCAGTAATAACAAAAACACATTATATTCAGGTGAAAAGATGATTACCCTTACTTCTAGCTTATATGCAATATTAGACCCATTGCTATATGTTTCATGTCCGTACTGTGGATACCATATATTTTACTACCTCACGAAACAGCCTCAACTAATCATGGTCATTCTTAAATAATTGTTATCACTTTGGACACATCAGCTCATAATCAACAAACCTGATCCACAATTAAGCAACCAACAAGCCAACGCCAAAGTGAACTTGACTTTCCCTATTTTGTGTGTGTGTTTATTACACATCAATGCAGAATAGGTGTATAAATACCGAAGAGACATATATTATTGTGGCAGTGTCATATTTTACATTTACTATTTATTTGTGTAAATACAGTATCATTTTTTAACAGTTTGGTTGTGGTAGTTTGAACAGAACCACCCCTTAACCTGCTACATCATCACTGAAATGGTTTCAGCTTCATTTAGCATCTAAACTAAGTTTGTTCATTTCATGTTTTTAAAAACCAGCTTAACACAAGTATGGTGTAATAAGTGCCAACTGTCCAATGTCTCACCAAACAGGGCACTTATTACAGGAAAATATTGTACCTGGTATATAGATTAAGGGAGAGGGTTTAACAGGGAGTTTATTAATGAGAGAGATAATCAGTGAGTAGAGCTCAGCTGTCTGCCATACTTACAACTGAGACACTTTTCAAGTAGTCATGCTGATCTGCTCTATCCATGGGCTTGTCCATCCACACCTGCAGCCCTTCCAACCCCCTTAAGGGGCTGGTAAGTTGACCTTCTGCAATTTCAACATCATCTGCAAATAAAATCCCAGGTGATTTCCAGGTACTATACTGTCTGGAGTCTGAAGGGATGCAAACAAATTGGCAGTATTGTTTATTTCATAGCAACTCTAGCTGGAAATTTGAAACAGAGAAATACTGGGACCTCAGTAGCCTTTATGATGATACATTTGAATTCATTTATATCAGAAAAGGGGCGGTGGTGTAGACTAGTGGTTAAAAAGTTGGCTCATACATTGGTACAATGTGTGAAGACCATTTCTGGTGTCCCCCGCTGTGATATTGCTGGGATATTGCTAAAAGCGGCATAAAACCATACTCACTCATTCTATCATAATATGGCCAGTCTATAAACTGAATTTAGTTATAACAATTTGTACCAATTTTATGCACACCATAGCATAAAACACTCAGAGTGTTGTTTTTTCACAAAGGTATCTTTTATAAGCACAAACTATTTCAGACACACAACCAACTGATGAATTTTCATCCAAAAGAAATCATCCCACTTTTTTATTAGGGCACTATGTAATGACACCTTTTTAAAAATAGGCTGAGGTACACAAGTCCTTGTCCTAAACTTGATACAAGCATGGGGATTTTAGGTAAACAGGTCGACTAGCCTGACACGAGTGCCTCCACCATGGAATTTTATGTAACTGGACATCTGAGTGATAAATACCCCTGTAAGTAGTAAAGGGGTCAAAGACGATGTCATTAAATTCTTAGAAGTTTGTATCTATATATATAGTTGATCATCTTCGATAATCTCCAGGGTATACGTTACGATCACTCTCCGCTATAACCTGGATGCATCCACGGCTTGACCCAATGATTTTATTACCTCCCTTGGCTTACTTTTTATCCAATCAGGTGTCTACACTGCGAAGTTGAGTGAACCAATCACAAACCTTCGTGACTGCGACCGCTATCTTTGTTGACACTGGCAAGCTCGGATGTAACGGTGGCTTAGCTGATTGGCTACTGTGAGAATATGGAGCCAGCAAAGGGAGGTAATATAATTATCGGGCCAAGCCGTGGATGCATCCAGGGTAAAGTGGAGAGTGATCATAACGTATACCCTGGAGATCATCAAGAATGATAGTTGATAAGTCCACACTGTAAGCTTACAAATGTAAATACCAAATGGTGTGCTGCTGAATTAAAAATAAACCAAAGGATATATTTTTTAATTGGGGTGAGGGTTGAATATGATTTTTGCATGTTGTAATGACTCCAGAACATTAAAAACTAGTAACTAACAATATATATATAAAATAAAACTATTACTTTTTTAATATACATGAGGCAGGTACCAGATTTAGATAAAAAGCAACAACACACAAACGTATTGTAGGGTTGGGTGAGGCAATTATACAACAAATAACTTCTTTTAACCTGTGAATACACAATGCCACTTAGAAAGTGGTCAAACGTAACACATGTTATAATTGGGATTACACTTTCTTAGTAAAGTACAGATTCAGTACTTTAGTGGGGTTAAATCCCATCTGGGATTCGAACCCACACCAGAGTGAGGTAACTAATCGCCAGCACACAAACTTGTGACAAAGTCAGACGCCTAACCCGCTCCCCGGATGGGACTTAACCCCACACAAGTACTAGAACCTGTACTTTACTAAGAAAGAGTAATCCCAAATATAACATATGTTCTTTTAACCTATAATAAGCCTAAAGTTAAAGCTTGCCTTCCACCACAATGAGTGGCAGGTGGAGACAGTGGGGAAATGTGGTATAAGCTGTAAAGTACACACCTCCCACATACACTTACCTTACTGAAATGAACACAGTTACACGCCCAACCCAATTGTCACATTCTCTGAAACTGTCAGTTCTATTTTCTGTTTCTGTTACGGGAATATGAAATGCCACTAGTAAGATAACAGAAACGAAAGTAGAAAGAGTCTATCTCTAAAGGGAGATAATTCAGGCAACACCTTATGCCCACCCGCTAATAATTGCAGTTTTCGAGGGTGTCTCGAAAAGGGTGGCATCGGATCCCAATTTTTCTTTTTTAGCAATCTTATGTATTCGATTGCGTTTTCTGGTTAAACTGCGTATTACATTATTCATCCATGGACAGTCATTAGGGCGCATGGTAACAGTTTTATTAGGTATGCATGTATTTCTGATACTTTTAGCACAGTGAATATTTCACCTACTATTTTAGAAACAACCTGGGATATGAACAGGGAATCCCAATTGATATTGTTTGTTATGTCCGTAATATAAGTCATATCTACGGATGAATAATCAAATATTTGTCTTTGGTATGCATTACATTTCTTTAGTTTTTCTTGGATGGTAACAAGTATTGGACAGTGGTCACTACATATAGGATACAAGACTCCAGACTCTAGGATATTGTCAGTACTAGAAACAAAAATGAGATCAATTAAAGTGCTAGAGGTTTGGGTCATCCTAGTAGGATTGTTGATAATTTGAGAAAGTCCATACAAAAGTTGCAGTTGATCACATTTAAGTCTACCGTCTTTCAATATATTCATATTGAAGTCACCTACTACAATTGTATTCAGACTTAAGTCAACAGCATCGCTTATTGCTTGATTGATCATGTCCCAATATGTTTCACTTGTATCCGCTCTATACACTGTACCAACTACTAGTATATAAGTTGGTTTTATCCAGATAGCTTCCAGCCCTGTTATATCTAATGTATGCATGTTGAGAATACATAACGTTTTTACTTTAAATACTACGCTTTGAGACTCTGTGAAGCGATATGTAGGTGGATATAATACTAATCTATGGATATAAACACATTTCAAGATACGTGTGTGAGGTTTGGGTTGTTTTTGACAGCACGGGCCAAGTCGGTCTGAACAGAAACTAAACACTTTTGATTGAGGATTTTGTTTTCCGAGGACTTTTGTTCCTAAAATCGTTGGGAATGGAGAGAGAAAAGGGCTTCAATTTTACTTTATTTATGAAGTGGTTATTAGGTTGATGTAATACCATTTTGTGTTTCATGTGTATTAGTAAATATAAGCATATGCATACGCGCTGGCTTTCTGATTTGGGCTGGTATTGATTGATTGTTTACAATGAAAACACATAAAACTGTTTGTGTTTGTGAATGCATACTTTGTTTGATGCTTTATAAACAAAATGTTGTGATTTCAAATATTTCTTTTAATATACATAATCATGTCATATTTGCCCATTGACACTCGCAAATATCCACATCTCTTTAACATAAACATCCTGTGCTGATTTAGCATGAGACAATAAAGGTTACTTAGGGAACTCCAATATCTTAATTAAGGAAAGAAAGGCAGTTAAAACACTGTCACTGTCACACACTAAGAGAAGTAAGCAACCTTCCCACAGAGACATATCAAGGAAAACACCTAACAACAAGACGGTGTCTTTTCTACGGGAATCTCGGTATGTAGTCATTGTGTGTATTTTCATCGTTAACTATACATTTTCAATCAAACTATGCATTTGTGAAGGCAGGAAGTGTATCTACCCAAATGTGCAGGTTTCGTTTTAATATTCTGCAATCCATTTTAAGTATTACCCGGTGGCCCGGCCCGGCCTGGCCCGACTTTTCTTGGCCCGACTTTTAGGCCATCCCAGAAAAATTCGCCTCAGGCATGGAGTACCTTCAGACAAATAAGAAATTCCGTTATAAATGAAGTAAGGAAAGCTACAAAACGTTATATTAATGACATTGACGAAAAAATAAGTTCATCGTGCGGTAGTAAACGTGGTGGCGCTTGATGAAGCAATATCTTAAAACAAATATATCAATAAGTTCATTCCCTAATATTGTTCATAATAATGCACTATATGATGACGATCAGGACATTGCAAATATATTAAACAATTATTTCACTAATCAGGCTGTTGTACCAGAACCAAATTCCGAAATAGAAGATATTGTTATAACACCAACTGGGTCCTTGAGTGACATATCTATTGACAAGAATGAAGTTAAGGATATTCTATTGTCTCTCAATGTTACAAAAGCGTCTGGTCCGGACGGCTTAAGTAACAGATCCTTAAATTTTTTTATCCAATCATATAGCCGAACCTCTAGCGAAGTTATTTAATATCTCTTTAAAACATAGTGAGTATCCGAAAATCTCGAAGGAAGCGACGGTTGTGCCAATTCACAAGAAGGGTAGTATTCATGAATGTAGTAATTACAGGCCAGTTGCTTTAACAAGCTGTTTATCTAAAGTTTTTGAAAAATGCGTTTATAAATACTAATTCAGTACTCATATACTTTGGAACCTGCAATCAGGTTTTATGCCCGGTGACTCAACCTCTAATCAGTTAACATTTCTCTAAAACTGTATATCAAAAACACTAGATCAAGGCAAAGAAATTAGAGCTGTATTCTGTGACATAAGTAAAGCCTTCGATAAAGTATGGCATAAAGGCATAATCCATAAACTGGAGCGTTACGGTATTAAAGGCAATATATTAAATTGACAGAAAGTTGTCATCCAGGGTATAAACTCTTCTGAGCGTGCTGTGTTAGCTGGGGTTCCACAGGGGTCAGTCCTTGGACCCTTGCTGTTCATAATCTACATACATGATATTACAGATGGTATAGATAGTAACATATGTTTATTTGCTGATGACACCTCATTATATATCATTATCGAAGACCCAGCAATTGCGGCTCGCTACCTAAACAGCGACCTGTCTAAAATTTCATCGTGGGCAAAAATATGGAAAGTCTCATTTAATCCATTAAAAACAGAATCCGTACTTTTTACTAGAAAAAAAATATCCGAGCTCTACACTACCACTTTTTATGAATAATACTGTTACCTGTGAAGTCGAAAGTCATAAACATTTAGGGGTTACTCTGCAGAGCAATTGCACTTGGAGCAAACACGTTACCGATGTCGCAGAAAAAGTAAGCCCAATGATAAATTGCCTACGGAAATACAAATACCGTCTTAATCGTAAAACCCTTCAAATTATGTATAAACAGTATATATTACCCTTGTTTGACTATTGTGGTCACATCTGGGACAACTGCACTAAAGAGCAATCTGAATTTCTAGAAAAGTTAAACCTAGATGCTATACGAACAATATGTGGAGCGGTACGCGGAACTAGCCATAACAAATTATATGACGAAACAAATATCCAGCCTTTAAGGATGAGAAGAAATAATAATAAATTGATTTTGTTCTACAAAATGGTAAATAACATAACGCCTGACTATCTAACCAGTCTCGTCCCCCCTTGTGTATCTGATTCAAACCAATACAACTTAAGAAATCGTAATAACATTCAAACTATTAATTGCAGAACTAGTCATTACGAAAACTCGTTTTTACCCGATACTATTAAACTATGGAACGACTTACCCCAACATCTTACTCAATTAGAGTCCCTGTCCAGTTTTAAAAGACGACTGAGGACTATTAATCCACCTCGTATATGCTTCAATCTAAACTATGGAAGCCGTTTTGCTCAAATCGTTCATTCCCGCCTGCGACTCGGCTGCAGTGACCTCAATGCTCACAAACGTGAAAGATACATTTGAGAAAGTCCGATATGCTCATGTGGACTAGCAAATGAGGATAGTTTTCACTTTTTCTTTACTTGTCCAGTATATACTGTAACTCGAAATAACATGTACTTTTACCAAAAAGCATATACGTTAGACTCAGTATTAATCGGAGATGTCAGTGCAACTGCACCTGTTAATATGCGGATTCTTGAATCTGTTCATTTATATATCGTAAAATCAGGCAGATTTGACGCCCTTTTCTCAAGATAATGATTGTTTACTCTCAACCTTCGACACACCTCTCTGCTTTTGGACTATGACATGACTAACAGCCAAACGATGTAATTGGGTTTTTTTGTAAGGGAGAGGTGTTCATATAAGCTTACAGCTTGTTCAACGATCACTATTCAATTTAATTTGAATAAAAATATGTTTAAACCATATATTCTCAACAAAGACACTGAATCACAAGCGTTCGGTCCGCCTTGGCCCGGTCTCTCAAAAAAACAACTTAAACCCCACACATGTATCCTGATTTGTGTTTAATTCCATAGATTAGTATTATATCTACCTAAACATCAATGTGTGATGTAAAAATCACTATTCATGGTATTTAAAGCATGCCCACCTTTAAATGATACGATCTCTTCCCCACACTCTCAACATTATCTCGGCCACATTTGTTCGGTCCGGCTTGGCTCGAGCCGTCAAAAGAATCTTAAACGTAACACACGTATCTTGAATTGTGTTTATAACAATAGATTGGTATTATATCTACCTAAATATCGCTTTGTATTGTTTTAAAATGCAACATGTAAAGAAAACTGCTCCGTTAAAGTGAAGCCCTTGTCTCTCATTTTTCAACATAGCCTCAATCAAAAGTGTCAAGTCTCTGTTCGGCCCGACTTGGCCCGGGCTGTCAAAAACAACTTAAACCTCACACATGTATCATGAAATGTGTTTAAATCCATAGATTAGTATTATATCTACCTACAGATCACCACAGAGTCTCAAAGCATAGTATATGAAGCAAACACCTTGCTCAAAGTGAAGCCCTATTTGCTATACATTCTCAACAAAGACACTGTATCACAAGCTTTCGGTCCGGCTTGCCCCGGGCTCTCAAATGCACCTTAAACCTCACAGATGTATCTTCAAATGTATTTAAATCCATAGATTAGCATTATATCTACCTACATATCAATGTGTGATGTTACAAAATGCCACATGGAAAGATAAGTGGTTCGTTAAAGTGAAGCCCTTTTCGCTCTCTCTATGCACAACATAGCCTCAATCAAAAGTGTTTAGTCTCTGTTCAGCGCGACTTGGCCCGTGCTGTCAAAAACAACTAAAACCTCACACA